ACAGAGATTTCAGAGGTAATTAGAAACACAGGTGCCCGATATCTTTCAGCTACATGGGAGCGGTGCAGAACATGATCAGGCAGGCTAGTGGCTCAGGGGCACATGGGCCTTGCCTGGACACTGGCTGAACACTGTACAGATTAAACAAACAAACAAAGAAGTCTCCTACAGGGTAGAGATTTTTGCTTACACAATAGCTGAAACTCACTTCTAAATCTCTGAAAAGCCCCTAGATAAAACCATGTAGTGGCTCATGCCTGTAATCCCAACACTCAGGACAGTGAGGCAGGAGAATCCCAGAAATTTAGGTCAACCTTTACTACATATTGTGTTCAAGGTGACATAATGAGACCCTGTCTCAAAAAGCAAACAAATAAACTCCAGATAAAAATCTTCACACGTTTCCTAATTCCCTCCTGCTCAGCAGGAGCTCTGTGTCCTGGCCTTTTGTACCTTTTACTTTCTTGCCTTTATACCTTTTGAATAAATTTGCTTGCATTCTACCTCCTTACTGTTTCATTTTTTGTCATCATAGGACGTGGTGCCAGTGTTCTGGTAACATTTTAGGTGCTTGTGCAGGATTCCAAGAGGAAGTAAGATCTATACTTTTCTAGAAGTTTTGCTTTCACTTCATGGCTGTCCTCTCAAAACGAGGACCCCACGGAAAGTCAAAGGTGATTAGCACAGGTGCCAATCTGGAAGTCTTTGGGGCCTTGTTTCCCTGATGTGAACTGAGCTGTTCCCCCTCTAACACGAGCAGAAGGAATACTAGCCCAGTCTTGACTCAGTTTTCCTTTCGGATTTGATTTTACCGCTAGCAAAGGAGAGATCTCTGCCCTTGGGGCTCTTGGCTTTCTCTGCAGCCAATGGTCCTTGGACATATTGCACCTTTAACTCCCTGCAGGTGTTAGAACAAGTTGACTTTCTCTTTCATGACTCCTTTTCCTGACCAGCTGAGCCAGGAGGTAAGAAAGATTTTACATAGCCAGCAGGTAAAACAAGAGCTTACATAGTATCTTCTTGTCTCCTAATTACCTGGTTATACACTTGCAGACAGGGGTCAGAGAATTAAACCCTTTTAGAGCAGCTGCCGTTTAACAGGCTATTGTGAAAGAACAGCAGGTCAGGGGCCTGGAGCATTGCAGGCATTGCTCCGCCTCCTCCAGCAGCTCCTAGGTTTATGGCTTGTGTTTGTGCAACCAAAGGAGAAAACATCTGTGTCACACCTTCCTTCCTTCCTTCCTTCCTTCCTTCCTTCCTTCCTTCCTTCCTTTCCTTCTTTCTCTCTCTCTCTCTCTCTCTCTCTCTCTCTCTCTCTTTTTTTTTTTTTTTTTTGCAGTACTGGGGATTGAATTCAGGGCCTTTTACAATCTCTTTTCTGCACCCTAAATGTGCCTTTGTTATCTCCAAGTGCTGGAGATCTTACCTGTTGTTCTTTGTCTACTTGTTGAGTTACATTCTCCGTCATTCCACTCCCACCTGCCAAATTGCTCACCTACCCTCCTGAATGTAAGACAAGTGGTGCTTTATTTATTTATCAAGCTATGGTTTCTCTGGGTAGTTCAGATTGGCCTTGAATGTGGTGATCCTCCTGGCTCAGCCTCCCAAGTGCTGGGGTTACAGGTATCTGCCACCATGTCCAGCCAAACTGGTGCTTTTAGACAAAGGTTGTGACTTTTTCATGTCTAAGGTTGGTGGGAAAAAGCTCTTGGGGCCAGGGAGATGGCTCAGTAGAATAGGTGCTTGCTTGGCAAGTGCAATGGCCTGAGTTCAATCCCCCAGTCGGCCAAAAAAAAAGGAAAAAGCTCTCAAGTGACATGCACCCTGCACAGGGTCCTAATGGATAACAAAGTTAGAGTTAACTCCTCTAGAGATCCAGGGAAGGGAACACACGCCTTCCTGGCAACCTTCAAGGGACTGACAAGAGCCCATTGAGACAAATCTTGGTTGATTGAT